TCTCTCTCTCCCCCTCCCCCTCCTCTCTCTCTCTCTCTCCCTCTTTCTCTCTCTCTCTTCCAGAGGCACTTCTTCCAGAGAGGATAGTCCGTCGCTACCGGCGCGCAAATTACTCGGTAGCGATGGCCGCCGTCGGGCGTTTCGTGGCTTTTAATTGACGACGGACGAAATGAAGTATCATGCCCCGTGCATTATAATTGGAAACTTTTATGTTGCGTGCGCGGCCACGGCACGCCGGGCCTACCGAGGCGTGAATCCGAACGAGCCAGCATGCGTTTTCTACGACGTATTCCGCCGTTCTCCTTTCGTATCGTTCCTTTTTCTTTCCACGGATTCGAGCGTCGCTCGTACGCCCTTCGAAAAAATGCGTGTGATCACGTAAGCTCGCACCGCCAATGGTGAACATGAGCATCGAATTTTTGAAGACTTCTTATGCACGCTCTCACGCGAGCCAGCGTATCCTTCCTGTCAGTAGCTTCTTTTATTAATTGTTAACGGGTATTAACAGCTATCTTCTCACGCACACGAGAAAATTATGACGGACACCACCGCGCGTTTCCTTCGTACTTTTTTTTTTTAAACGTGCTTCTTTTTTCACACGTGTTTCGAGAAAGAATAAGACAGGCATGCAGCTGCAGGAAAAAAGATATCGCTTTAATGTAACAGAAAATTACATACATTAAAATATATTAAATTTTATGATATAATAATCTTATATCAATAGAAATAATAGGCTTTATTAAAGATAAAGTGAAATTCAATGTACGAGAAAACCTGACGCTCTTGTAACTAATTAGTAAGACATTTTAACCGCTATAAACAAAAAGCGATATTATTAAGAGCAACATATATTAATAAGCGCCCATGTATTTTACTTATGATTATTTAAAACGCAATGTAATAGATGCGTGATAATGCATCTTAATACACATGCGGGCAGATTCGCGCGTATCCTTCCCGTCCGTACTAATCGTAACACGCGTTTAACGAGGCGTTTGACGGATAAGTGAAAGGAGATGCGGCGGCGCGACTTTCCCCGAAATTTTACGACGCGCCAAACAGGCATATACGCGAGCAGCCCCGGCAATCGCACGTTTAATGTTTCACCGTCACGAACTCGAACTGTGAATTCGGTTGGAAGGGAGCGGCGTGCGACTGATTCCCGCGCGCGTAATATCGCGGCGCTTCGTTGGCCGCGGGCGTTATTAATCATCTTTTTCGCCATTGCGGGCGCGCAACCCCGGAATTTAACGCGGCTCGGAAGCTGCGTTAAGGGGAGTAATAACGCGTCGGCCCTCGCGTCATATCCCCGTATCTCGCGAAAGCGGACTCTTCCGCCGTATGATTTCATTCGACGGGATACGGCCGAGGGACAAATTTGAAAAAAGGAGCGCGGTATGTCCGGTCTGATAAAGGCGCGTCTTCCTCGCGCGGTGTATAAGTACTAATCTTCGTGTACGCGCCGGGGATAACGCGACTATAATCGCGCGTTCGTCAGAAATCGCAAATGCCGAAGCGAGCGGACGTATCGTACCGCGCGCGAACCGGTCCGTTACGATAACCACCGGCCACCGGGTTTTTGCCGCGCCGCGCAATGTAAACGTTTTATTTCGACGGCGCTAATGACGGAGTGACCGGTCAAGATGGTTACGTTACAAATGTAATCGTCGGCCGGCTCGCCCCGCCGATTATCGGAACGCGAGCACTTTGTGCGGAAATAAAAGGCGACGATAATTAAAGCCTCTCGCGCGGTTGTCGCGCGAGCAAATCGGGGAAAATTGGGAGGCGCGCGAACCGCCCCTGCGGGTTATCATGAAAAGCGTGCCGCACCTGCGGCACGGGGCGGCTGTGCGAGCGGAGTGAAGGGGGAGTGAACCGCACCTGC